GCTCTGAAATCGACATAGGGCAGGGAAGTAGACCACCTAACCACAAATTATTGCTTCCTTCGACTGAGTAAACTGGCCTCGTTTGGAAATGCATCCTCCTCAGCGCTCCGTTTACATGCCTCGAAGACCCAATCGCAATAACATACTGACATTCCTCCCCAGTCTCGCTAGCTGTTTTCTCCATGAGACTTTCCTCTAATCTTCTTTATTTTACATGGATGAGGACTTCCAGAGCGCAATAGCGGATCACCGAAAGGCAACTGATTTTCATTAAGATTGCTTTACCTTACTTCTTAATATTCACAGTCCGAAGGTACTAATGGTACTGGCTACATACTCAGTACTGAATGGACATGCGTCGTATAACCAATCGCAACAAGGTCACGTGGTGTGAACGCGAAAATTGCTGACGATGGCAGTTTTGCCAGCGGTGTGTAAACTCGGAGTTCATGAGGTCCGTAACCCTAACCCGAGTGCTAGGCTCTACTATTATATTCACAGTCCGAAGGCACTAATGGTACTGGCTACATACTCAGTACTGAATGGACATGCGTCGTATAACCAATCGCAATAACATACTGATGAATCACAGAGGTACTCATTGTGTGTCGTTGTTTTGCGTCTCGCTTCCGTAAGTTCTTACACTCTTGCGCCCAAACTCCAGCTAACACGCCGTTAGCGCTAGCAAACTCCATTTTTGTGCCGGATGCGTCTTCCTGGTCTGATTCGAACTGCGACCATCATTGCTCGCGGCCGTGTTCGTCTTACAAGGTCACGTGGCGCGAACGTGGAATGCGCTGACGATGGCAGCTGTGCCAACGGGTGGAAACCCTGAGTTCATGAGGCTCCTAACACTAACCAGACGTTAGGCCATAGCAGTTAACCTCCTTCGAACTTTAATCCTATTAGCCATTGCAAACTGCCAATTCTTGGTTTCGATCGTCCTAGTGACTCATCCCCAGGTGTCCCTTGCAGACAAGGTTTGAAATTAATTGAAGCAAGCACCCTGATGCTATAACGATTGGGAGGTCTGAAGAAGCTACCGGATAACTGATCAAGTAAGTCACGGATAGCGCTGGAATTCGATTGATCCATCTACAACTGACTTGACCTCTAAGAAGTTCTAGGCCGAAATGAGGTGATATGAATTTAGCCTTGTGGCAGATCACAGGAACGCGGCGGCAAAGTCAAGGAAGCAGACGGCTGTTGGTTTTTGGTAGTCATGGCAAAATTAGAGAATGCGCCTCAGTGTGAATATCTGATCTGCGCATCCAAGTCCAGCACGGAATCCGACCTGGTTGGGCCCCGTCCTGGAGTCACGCACAGCCAGGAATCGTCTGAGTGGGACAATAGCGAAGATTTTCGTCGCAACGTCGATGAAGCTTAGCCCGTGGTAGTTCTCCTATCTTGTATTATTTCCCTTCTTGAGGATAGGTACAAGGATGCCCAGCCCAAGTTATCGGGGGCTTGTTTAATCACCTCATGGAGTCAGGGCGCCAGAGTGTCGACACAAAACCTGTAAAGTTCATCGCGTATACCGTCCTCTCCAGGTGCCTTGTTGTTGCGTAGCTGGCATAGTTGGCACCAGTGGTTTTTCCTACAGATAGGGGTTCGCATGACACTGCATAGGCTGACGGGGGAAGAAACTGCGCTGGAGAGGCGTGAGGATACTCCTCCTACCGCATCAAGGGCAACCTGACTTACTCGGCTGGTCCACGGACATGATTGCGTTCATTTCATCGGTTAGTCTCGCGGCCAGGCCTTTCTCCCTCGATTTGGCATGTGGGGTCGTTTACACATGAACGCCTTTGCCGAGGGTCTGCCCGCACTGAGGGCCGAACCTCTCCCGAGGACCGGCTACTCCCCCCCCCACCCCCAAAGGGTTTTGACCTAATCTGTTTGTTCCTAAATTTCTGTAATCTGAAGCTGTCTTTGGTAGCCAATGAATTATGTCGATTAAAAGGACATAATACGACACTGGTCAACGCAAAACATTTATAGATTACACGAAAGAGAACGAAAGCTGACTGCAAGCACTTTAAAATAGGACAGTATTACCGAAAAATACATACTCCAACTGGAATGGCCACTTTGTGTCTACTAGCTAGTTCTAATCGTCCTGTTCTACCTTCCGGCTCAACTTTTTGGCCTCCGAAGCTGGAGAGAAATCAGAACTTGGAAATCACCACCATCGAAGGGAGTGAGGTTAGAATACGAAGTTGAAGGTTGTGTGCCGTTGCATGCCATTGAGACTTTAGCCGTAGCAAAGTAACTGTCTTCGCTTGGCGCTCTGTATTACTTGCCGTGCATGTGTGAATTTTGAAATCTTTGCTCCTAACACGGGCTGCGACATAGGCACTCTGGACCAACGCTGGGGGCTAAATCGGAGTGCGGCTGATGTTACAGGGAACGAGCAGCCATAACAAATGTGGCGGCAGGCCCAGTTGCCGTCCTACGTCGTGTGGTGTTCGATTTCCGTTTCCTTGGTATATGAAATCGTGATCAGTGTCCGCTGTGGACCAGGGGGTGTTGCCGTACGCCAAGGTGTGAGGTTTTGCCATGCCAGCCACCTGCAGTCTTCGTGACTCCAGCTTGAAACCAGACGAGTCCAGGTGGCGGAGGAGGAGGAGGAGAGATAGATGCTGCGCAAGTGCACCATCACTACAAACTAATTTACGTGCACCCTGCTGTAGATCACATGGTGAACATCCTCAGAAGCAACAGTCGAACTGTCTCCATTTTGAAATCTACAATCGAAATGGAGCTACAGGTTCCCATCGTTTAGCGCCTGAAGAAATAGGAAATCTTGAAGAGTTAAACCTATACACATTACGGATCTATAGTGGTACCTGTTGAAAACCGCAAGTAGTTGGACAGGGGATTTTCCTGAACACGCAAAACCCAAGGTGACGTATGCTATGTCATGTTTTCCGAGTTGCCATTACAGAGCAGTATCTACAAGGTTTATTTATTCAAATTTATGTTAGTTGGCTTCTGTCGGTAATCGCTGTCGCCTAACGAATCTTTGCAGAAAATGTTTAAATTACTGTCCAGGCAAGCGTTGTTTTGGATAACATAACCTTTCCGCACATCCTCTACACACGCACGAACAGTCTCCTTAACCACTTTGTGGTTGAAACTTTCCTTATATTTACTTCATTTCACCTGGAGAGGGATTTCCAGCAAGCATCAGCGGATCCCTTCGACCTCAGTCGATTTTCTTGCAATCTGCTGGTGCTGACTTCATACTCAGTTCTGAATTGACATGCGTCGAGTAATCAATCACAATAACATAGTAATGAATCACAGGGGTACTTACTGTGTTTCGTGGTTCTGGGTCTCGATTCCGTTAGCCCTTTCACTCTTGACAACCAAACGTTCCAGTATTACGCCCAAACTCCAGCTACCACGCCATTGGCGCCAGCAAACTGCATTTAATGCCGGATGCAACGCCCCGGAAGTTTCAAGTTAGGGATTGCGCATGGGCGTTTAAGCCCGTATCCAAGTGTATTTTCTCCACCATTGTTCAACAGAATAACTTAATTTTCATATTAAACTTTTACCTGGCTTTCTTCCATTTCCCTTGAAGGACCGAAAACATTTAAACAAAGCTTATATTTACTTCTCCATGAATACTAGCCATACTAAAATTTTTAGCAGTCAAAACGTTCTTTTTGGAGGAATTTAGCTGGTGTTAAATCAGAAAGTGTTGCGGAGTCTTTTAGCAAATGTGGTCTTTTGAAGTTCTCATTGAACTTACTCGATGGGTATACGCGTATTCAGCTGGCAGCTAAACACAACCCTAACCGTAGCACATAATCTCCTCTTTATTATAGGAGGGATCCAGCTTCGTAAGTCACGCCTTAACGGTTAGCGAACTCATCCAGCCTATGTTAAATGTCCTGCTTGCCATTCCGTTTTCTGCACTTTATGCTCTCTTCGTAGTCCTTCTGAGTACTTGTACTACATTGCGCATCACATAAACCCTTTCATTCATTTGGTGTGTTGCGAAGTCGTAGCACAGTGTGGATGGTGGAAATTCCACCCGAGGGTCAAATACGAATCCGATGTATCCCTTAGTTACAGGACGTTGCCAGACGACCTCGGCCAAACACATAATACGGAATTTGCCAAGAACAGCGATGCCTGTATAGAGGATGGGACGTGGGGAAGTGATGTAGATATATTTTTTTTCTCGATCTTGACTTAGTCCCCTTAGACTCCTACCTCTTTGCCGGTAATCAGCCGGCACCATATCAGTTGACCTCCCTCGAACTTTAATCCTATAAGTCATTGCAAACTGCCAATGCTTGCCTTTGATCATCCTAATGACTCATCTTCAGGTGTCCCTTGCAGATAATGTTTAACATTAATTGCAGGAAACACCCTGCTGCTATAACGATGGGGAGGTCCGATGAGGCTCCCGGATAAATGATCAAGTAACTCACGATTAGCGTTGGAATTTGATTGATTAATCTACAACTGGCTTGACCGCTAAGAAGGTCTTAGCAGAAATGAGGTGATATGAATTTAGTCTTGTGGCAGATCACAGGAATATTTTGGATGATAACTTAGATGAGGTTTTTAAGACCGCATTCGAATGTATTTTTACCATCATCGCTCAACAGAATTCAGTTCAGTTCAGTTTATTGAGGGAAATGTAGGTCTTCACCTTTGCACTCCCTATTTGTTTACAAACAACTGCAAAATCTCAAAAACTCGAAAAGGTATCATAAAGGAACGAATAATCGGAAATGCGTCAGGTCTGTACAGACAAAAAACTGTCTCGAAGTTTAGTGGTACGAGCAGTTGTAGAGCTGTCGTTTCGAGTTCAGCGAAATAAATAATATATGCGGTGACAAAATTTGCATATGTGCATGTCAGTAAGCGTGGGCGATGAGTTTGTTCAACAATACATTCAATTTAAAATGTTGCTGAAATATAGCAAGTAGTATTATAATAACGGGATTTGTCGAGGTTACAAAGATCGGGGTGGTAATTTAGTGGACACTGCTACACAAATCCAGCTTCCTCTTAAAGACCTCGACGGAAGCAGACATAACGACATCCACAGGCAGGGCATTCCAGGCTTCTAGCACTCTGTTGGAGAAGAAGAACTTTCGTGTGTCCAGTCTGGCCCCTGTCACACGTAGTTTGCATGGATGGCCTCGTAGATTTGTGGTGGTTGCTAACTCGAAGAAGTCCCCCGGTACGAGGCTGCAGTCCTGACCGCGTATGATACGGAAGGCTTGTATCAGGTCACGCCGTAACTGCCTGTAACTCAAGGGAAAGAGATCAAGGTTAGCTAACCGCGTTGCATATGGTAGTGAACCCTGTTCTGCCACAAGTTTCGTTGCACGCCTTTGAACCCTTTCAAGGATGCTGAGGTCCTTCGCGGTCCAGGGTCTCCAAGCTTGGATAGCAAATTCTAGTTGCGGACGCACAAAAGTTCGAAAGACTTTAGCGAAGCAGTCTTCATCAAAGGCAGAGAAAGCCCGCTTGACAAGGTAGAGGACTGACATTGCAGACTTGGCTATCTTCGTGCAGTGCAGCGAGGGTTTGAGCGAGGTCGTAATCCATACTCCCAAGTCCTTCTGCGAGTCCACTTCTTGCAGTGGTATACCATTTAGGCAGTTGGCCAAATGGTTCGGAGAGCGAGCTCTGCCGACTCGTAGAATATTGCACTTTTTCTCGTTGAACGGCAGAAGCCAGGCCTTTGACCACTGTTGGAGTCGGTTTAGGTTCGCCTGCAGATGCTCTTCGTCATCTGCAGTTCGAATGACGCTCCAGAGCTTAATGTCATCCGCAAACATGGCGACACCACAATCCAGTCCACTAACGCAATCGTTGACGTAAATGATGAACAAAGTAGGACCAAGAACTGAGCCTTGGGGAACACCGCTTTCAACGGCAACCTCCGTCTACTTCTGGCCACCGACATGGACAGTTTGACAACGGTCTAATAGGAAGCTTTGAATCCATTTTAAGAGGTTACCCCTAACGCCTGTTCGGCTCAGTTTGTGCAGGAGTCGCTGATGTGGGACACTATCAAATGCCTTTTTAAAGTCGATATAGACTACATGCAGCGCATTGCCTTCATCAACTGACCGAGTCCAGCGTTCCAAACAGTTGAGCAAGTTAGTCACGCAAGACCTGCCACTACGAAACCCATGCTGCGCATCAGATAATAAATCATGCTGCTCTAGGAAGCGCATCAGCTCTCGCTTGATTATTTTCTCCATGAGTTTGCAGCAGATGGAGGTGAGGCTAACTGGCCTGTAATTGTTTGCAGAGGCCTTGCTGCCTCCTTTATGCAGTGGTGTGATCCGCACAGATTTCCAGTCGGCGGGCAAGCAGCCGGCTTCGAACGAGGCTTGGAAAAGCATGGACAATGGTTTGGCTAGTTTGGCAGCGAGCTCCTTCAGTAACTTAGGCGGTATGTCGTCTGGACCTAGTGATTTTGACTCATTTAGCGTCATTAGCTCTTTGCGAACGGTCGCTTCATCAAAAGATACAGACTCAATTTTTGGACCCTCATCGAAGTCGTAGTCGGGAGGAGTAAATGGACTTTCACTAGTAAAGATGGATTTGAAAAATTGTGAAAAGTGCTCAGCTTTTTCTCCATCCTCACTAATCTCTACGTCTCCGCTTGTCTTCAGGAGGGGGATTGGATCTCTGTTTCTTGTGCTGCTTCTTATGTAGCTGTAGAATAATTTTGGGTTTTCCATAGCACGATTCAATAGGTCTTTTTCAAAATTTTGCCGTGTCCTGAGGGTCAGTCGCTTGACTAAGTTCCTTTGTATTTTGTATGCGTTTATGGATACAGGAGTCCCATCAGTAAGAGATTTCTGCCACAATCTCCGTTTTTTATTTATTTCCTTTTTTAACGCCTGGGTTAGCCACCGGGGTCGATTGTTTAGCCCCTTCCGTGAAAGCGGGCAGTGGTTTGTCAGGAGAACATGCAATAATTCACTGAACCATTTCCAATCCTTCTCCATATTTCCGGAAAACGCTGATTCCAGTCCGTATTGTTGATTTCGGTCTTCATTTGATCGAAGTCCCCACGCCAAATATTTCTTCTAATTTTGGTGGGCTGTTTAGGCACGGAAAAGATTGAATAGTCCCATTGAAGTACAACGTGATCGCTTCGACCTAAGGGAGGCAGACATTGTACCTCATCTATGCTGTCCATCGATTTCGTGAGCACCAGGTCCAAGCAGTTTGACTGCTGCCCCTCACGGGCCCTCGTAGCAAATAGGATGTGCTTAGTGAGAAATGACCTGAGTGCCATGTCCAAAAGACGTCGGTCGAAAGGTAGGTCTGGGCCGCGCGCGTATAGTGACCTCCAGTCAATGAGCGGAGCATTAAAGTCGCCCGTGATCGGGACGTTAGGCCGGAGAGCAAATTCGCCTAGCTCCTCTAACAGACGAGCGTCAGCCTCGGGGTCACTCCTCGGTGGTCGATAGACGGTCAGAACTTCAAGGCTATGTGATCCTGGTACCCTTATAGTGAGCCAGATAGTCTCGGCGCTGCACGCAAACTGGTCTGTTTTGTCTGATACAAACAGGCCGTGTTTTACGTACATGACTCCTCCTCCCTGACGCTCTCACCTATCTCTTAAAACAACTGAAATCCTGGTAGTGCTGATTCGCGGTCATCTACGTTAGCAGACAGCCAGGTTTCTGTCAAAGAGAAAACATCAGGGGAAAGTTCACAGATTTGGATCTTCAGTTCATCTAACTTGGGCAGTATACTCTGCACATTGGTGTAAAAAAATGTTAGTTTCAGAGTTTTGGGGCGTTTGATTATAGTTTCGCTTAAGATGCCATTTAAGAAACCTATTGCGCCCTCATTCAGATGAGTTCGGTCCAACGGATTGGGGGAGGGCGCTGCACTATCTGGTCGTTGTAGATTACGAGATTCGTCTCGCCATTCTGCAACCTTGTTCCCAGTTTCAGAACCAATTGTCGACGCTTTATTCCCTCTGACGGTGTGTAGTCCGGCTGAAAAAAAAACGACGCGGTTGGTCTATTTGATTCGGAATCGTCGTGAGAGAATAAGTTCTACTTGTTTTTGGCTGACTAACACAATCTTGAGTGGTCGGGGACATGAATGCTCTGATATCTCAATTGAGCGCTTTCGAAGCCTAAAGGCCTTGAGAACCGAAACTTCCTCATTAGGGCGCAGAACTTCGTTGAGTAGGCATTGGAGCAGTTGCAAGTCTGCCGAAACCCGCTCTTTGGAAGCACTAGCTGTGGATTCGAGACATCCCTGAATGATCAGACATTGTCCTCTGACCGGCGACTCTCCCGAGAACACGGTGGTTTCGTGCCCCGACAAAAGCAATACGTGGTTGTCATGATCTGAATATGATATAAACCGCAGTCGATACAGATCCTCATTTGTCTCTGTATTGTTTGCATTTTCACCAAAGTCAGAAGTTTTTTGCGACAGGTTGAGAGTTTAAGGACCCATGCCATTTCCCGTGATGGGCGACACGGACGCCGACGTCCCTGGTTCCGGTTCTTCGGAAGCATTCCTCGGAATCTGCTGCCCTTGTCCTTCGACATTTTTGCTGCGCGATTTCTTTTATCCTCCGGCTTTTTTTCGTGTCGTCGCTGGTTGTTGTCGTCTTGTATTTCATGTGTGTGTGCTGGCTCTGCCGTGACAGCTGCAGAAGGTGTTGATGGCGTGTCTTTTGTGCAAAGTCCTTTGACCCTTCTTCTTGTTATACTTCCAGATAGTTTATTCGTATTGTCAGCTGTGTCTAGTCTACATTGTAGAAGAGTTTTTGACTTTTCAATCTCTTCCTCAAGGCGGTTGATTTTGCCGGCCAATATCTGGCATCCGCTTCAAAATCGATCGGTTTACGGCACACATTTACTATCAGGTAAACTTTGCGACATCGCTTACCGGAGTTCTGCGATGGCCGGGGGGTTATCGTGCGCGACTGAAATATTGATGTTCGGTGGATCGACACCGTCATGCAAGGTAGTTTTTCGGGAAGCTGCGCGAATCTCCATCATGTAGTGGACTTATGCAAAACAGAAAAATCTGCAGGAATAACAAGCTTTTTCCTAAGGCACAACTGTAGACAGTGTCTATGCTAATGGTGGGTACGCCGAAAATTTCCAGGGTACACTTTTTTCAGGTAAACCTATCCCTGCCAGCACCAGCCCCCTCGTGCCTCCTCTAAGCCCCGCCTCGTGAGGGGGCAGCGACGGGGCTGGAGAGGGGGCTATGGCGGGCAAATTCCCGATGTGGCCCCCTCTGACCCCATCATCGAAAAAATGCTCAAGGGACACCTTATAATTGTCGTTTTTGCCCCCACCCCTGGCCATATTAGACCGTCTGGCGGTATTGTGAAACCCCGAACGTCTTATTGTTCGCGTTATAGTCCAGATCCCCCTTTTCTTTACCGATTTTCTTCGGTATCCATCCTATATTATCCCTAATCGCCTAATTTTTTGTTATAATCTACCCCAAATTCTCAAAGCCGATTTCCCCACGATTGTTAGCAGATCTTCACGCTTTACTGCGTATCCCCGAACGAAGCATTGAACGCCATTTATTGTTTGTGGAAAATTCATTAGACGAATATGGTTTGTTCAAAAAGTCATGCTTCATCAGGGGACATATTTGGCTGGCCGTCCAGGTCGGTTGCGGGTATCTACAACAAAAGAAAGCAGAGCGTGCAATTAATTAAACGGTAAAAAATATGCTACTGAAGTAAGTCTTTTGAGTAGCGTATTTACTGTATAGATTATTATGAAGTTAAATAGCTCGAATATAGGCAGATTCTGAAGATATAAAGAAACGCGTACTTACAGTATCTTCGGAAGTAGACTGTGTTAGGTATGTTTCGGCCGTACAGGTGTCAAACATATGTTTGGTAAAATGATAGTTGTCAGATTTTAAGCAGCACAGCAAGTAGTGTGGAAAGATCGACTCAGCCTTTTTGCAGATGTTGCTCCAAACTTCGGCGTGCAGTTTGAGACGGCATATTGGATGGTTAGGCCCTGTAGACAAGCCGAGATTTCCGACAGAATGACCGTTTTTGCAGAAATTTGTTCTGATCCACCGATAAGAGTATCGATGTAGCTAGCTGGAGGATCGTAGTCAGAAACGCGTTTTATAATTCACTTTTTGATGAAGGACAATCGTTTTTAGTGAACAGACTCGATTGAAAAACTTCCTTCTTGCAACTCAAAATTCAAACTATGCGCGTCAGTTCACTACCCGTTAAGGTGAATCAAAATAGCATAGGGCAGCACTATGGTTGGGCTTGGCGACCTTGGAACAGCGGCCATTGTCAGCGCATTCAGTGTTCACACCAAGGGACCTTGTAAGACGAACACGGCCGCGATCAATGATGGCCGCAGTTCGAATCGGCCTAGGGGGACGCATTCGGTACAAAATAGAGTTTGGTGGCGCTAACGACATGGTAGCTGGATTTTGGGCTTAATACTGGAACGGTTGATTGTCAAGAGTATAATAGCTAACGGAACCGAGACCAGAAACCACGACGCACGGCAAGGACCTGTGTGATTTGTCAATATTGCTACTACGGATTTTTATTTCATGTATGTCAATGCAGCACTGAGGATGATGCATTTATACAGTAGGCGCGTTAACGTAGTCGACAAAAGCAATTATTTGTGGCCAGCAAGTCTACTTGCATGATTTATGTCGATTTCGGACACTGTTCACGACGTGAACGGCGGCGCTATTGTCAACACCTCGGCTTAAGTCGGCCGCTGGCGTGAGCGCTTTGAACACCATCTTATATTCGATAACCAACAAATCACGCCCT